GTGTAGCAAAACGCATCTGCATTGTACCGAGTATATATGTGTGCACTATCATAAGCCCCACTTCTCTCCAACAGCCCGAATGACATGGTGGCCATCCTTGCAGTCTTGCATTGACTCTCTACAAGGTGGATCCATTGCCATACTCGTTAAAAAACATCCCATTTCCGAAGTTATTATAAGTTACTTCAGTCTTTCCATCAGTCCGACTGACATGGCTGCTATCTTTGCAGTCTTGGGGTAGCTAAGAAGCGTCGTCGTATGTAAAACTACAGGGTTTAGGGACAGGCGTGGGGATCAGAATTGGGAACCTAAATTTCTTCCCATGCCCTTTCGATGCTTATGTTGCTTCATGCAGTGGAGAAGTTTTTTGCCCTCATGCGAGCTACAGCTACAGGAGCTTGAGTGCCATGTTTGGGCAGGTTACGGAACTTGAGAGCCTTATTAGGGCAGAATACAGAGCTTGGTGCTATATCAGGGCAGATTATGGAGCTTGAGAGCCGTATCAGGGCAGAAGTGCAATATCATGGCAGATTACGGAGCTTGAGTGCTGTACCAAGTGCCATTCCAGAGCGAATGTGTTGAACCAAATGCAGAGGTGTTGCTAATGAAATCAGGTCAATTACGACACGAGGCACATTCCAGATAGACATTAGCTATGAATCAAACCTTTGTGTGATGTGATTCGACCTGAAACGGTTTGGTTAGCAAAATTTGACGCGCTGGTTGGATGGGGACGATTTAGCTCATTCTCGAATCGCATTCCAGTGTGTATCACCTAGTGACAAACGGGAACTAAGAAATTTCATTGAAACCATTAAACCGAAAATATCTTCACTTCGTATTTGAGATCAAGATAATTTGAGTCATTTCTACAATAGTTTGAATTTTTATTGATAAATGATTAGAGTTTCGTTACAGGGTATCAACAATAACGAGACTTCCAGATTTTGTTGCGACGAATCAGATGAGGGCAGCCACTCAGTTCGCTCACAAGCAGGTGACTTGTTCCTGGCGATGGCGATAATTGTCCTCCACCGCCCATAGCCTTATTCCGAGCCTGCGTGGTTTGCTTACTGACACACAGGCCGTGAAACGCGCTTTGTCAGACCTGCAAAGGATGTGTGAGGAGGAGCAAAACAGATCCCCCCAGTGGAGCTGCCATGCCAAGAAGGAATGCGGGGGCGGATAAGGGTGCGTCAGATCCGTTGTCGGAAAAATCCGGCCGGCCGGAATTAGCGAGGTAACACATTCGCGACATCCGCAAAGATTTTCGAAGAGTTCGCCAAATCCGGCCATTTGTAAAAAAATTGATGGCCGGTTCAGCATTCGACAAAGTTCCGACGTGCAGTCGACTCGAAAGTCGACCAATTTGTCGACCTGAGATCGCTACAGTCACTACGCGACGTCGCCAACTCGTGCGACGCAACGTGTCACACAAGTACTGCATCTGCGATTCCGTCGCACAATCCGGCGACCCAGGCGAACTGCAAATCTGACACATTTGCAAAGCGGCCATCAAATCGGCCACCAAATGTGTCAGATTTTTCGGCCCTGTAAATGTGGCCGGATATTGGTCGTTATTGAAGTCGACCATGTTGTCGACTTTGGCGAAAGATATAGTCGACCAAATTGTCGACCAAATTCCGGCCAAATCACCTTGTAACGGATCTGACGCGCCCTAAGGATGGCTCAGCCGGCTGGCTGGCGCTTCTTCAAGTAGTTTCTACGCCGCGAAGGAATCCCAAAAGAATTTCGGAGAGGCATTTTTTTTCTTCTCAAAAGTTAGCGTACAAAAGGGATCTCACCTCGCGTCTGTTAGTAAGCATGGCATCATCAAGACGATACACCCAGTTTGAATATGGAAGATTCGCCCAAAAAAAGCTGCACGTGACGTGCCACTCACACTTCAGGAGCCCCCTGGAACGGTAGAACGACGCTGGAACGGCTTCCGAAGCAAAACTCTGTTTCGGAGTCTGCAGCCCGGGTCTCGTTACTAGAACCGCACACAGGAAGCACAAATGGGTTCGCCCGTTCAGAGAAGTTCTACAAAGCACGCTCGGCCTGGAGTTTGAGGTTCGGTTCGGACGATGATCGAGGGAATCTCGTGAGGATCCGTGCGTGCACCACCCCTCTCCGAACAAAGTCCGTCTGACACAGCTGCTCTCAGGCCTAAGCTCGTCCTTGGAGCAGAGGCACAAGCACATGTCAGCCCTGCTTCCGTCGGCCCTTGTCCAGGCCGCCGCTGCGTAGACTATCTCACAGTGGCATACACGTTGAGTCTCGTTTCCCTCCACTTCCCTTGCTAGATGCGTGTCACGTTACCGCGGGATTAATTCCAGACCGCGCCGACACCTCAATGCCGCCGCCTAAGCCAATTACGATGCAGCCGCGAGCATCATGGCTTGCACTCTCCGCCACGATTTGGCTTTCTGCATTCGTCTCTTGCCATGCGCAACCGCCCGTGATTAACGCTACTCAAGGTGCCTCCCTCTCTCCTTCGCACAATGCTAATAGCGATCAGTGTCGCTTCTCGACATCTCTCGTACCTCGTTCCTGTCGAGCACGTAATAACAATCAGCCGGTTGCACTGCCACAATGCAACTGACTACTACAAGTAGTGCTGATCCTCTTTTCAGTTACGTGACGGCACGAGCGCCACGTGTTCATGCGATGCCATCTAATACGTCTGTTCTTAGGTTTGGTTTCCATCATACCTTATTTTGGGACGAAGTGATGCTGTAGAGTCACTTCCACTGTCCCCAATCCAGCGACCCTTGTATGTGGTTCGCCGAGGAATCCCTGAAAAATCGACGATGAAACCCTAAGGACTCATCCCCTGAAGCGGATCGATTTGCTGGAAAATCGGTTTTGCGCGCTGGGTGTAGCACTGCAGCGTCGCAATCAACAAGGTAACTGCTTTTCGCCAATGTTCTTGAATGTACAGTAAAAATGTGCCCGCGGTCCTTTCACCTACGCGGGTCCCGATCGATACAGCGAAGTGAAGTATCGATCTTGAAATTGGATGGCGCGGTGTTGAATATCGCGCCACGAGTGACAGTCACGATCGATCGTCTTCCCTTGTCGTCGCATAGTTGCTGAGCAACTTAGCGTACAGGGGGTTTGCCTGTGAGATTCTGTGCGCGACCACAGAGCTGTTGTCGCAGATTGGGTGTACCACAAACCCAGATCCTGCCTTACCAAACCCGTTGGTGCGGTTCGGCAGATCCTCGGCCGAGCCACTTCACGTGATGCGTCCTAAACAGTGCTTGCGATGTATCTGCAACCTAACCCTAAACAATCCCACCCATACCTCGGCAATGCTTATAGTACACCTGTTCTTCGATATTTTCACTATCCTTAATTTCACACCGCGCTTCGGTGTCACTTCGGGGTCCTCAGCCCAACTTTGTTGGGAGACGAGCTGCCATTTCGCAATGGCTGGAAAAACTTCCTGAGATCGTCGTGCACTTTTTGTCCATGTCAGCAGCAGACTTTGCGGCTCGAGTGTGAAATTAAGCGGGACTTTATTGCTCCGTCTATTTTCATGCCCTCTCAGGCAATCGTTTTCGCGACCCGGGAATGTCACCCCGTGAAGATATTGGAGAACAGGTGTAATGCTCAAATTTTGTTCCCCACATCACCAAAATGTTGCTGACCTAAACCTGGCCCGTACCCTGACCCCATTGTGGCCCAAAACTAAGAGCGTGGTACACCCAAGCAAAGATCGCTGCATTTTGAGGATCACGTCGGCGATCCTTGCAAAACAGTGTCCCACCTACTACAGTACAGTGATCACTGTGTCAGGTGGTGTACCAACAGAGGTGGGATCGGAAACATGCGTAGTCAATGCTACACAATCTTTGTGATGTCCGTAGGATCATCGTGACTGCCAATCTCTTGGTGATCTTTGCAACTCTGTACCAAAGACAGGGTGATCCTTGTTGACTAAAAACATTCCTTTCGCAATCAGGTCGCACATCTGAAAGGAAGTCGCATCAAATCAAAACATTTCGAAAATGAAAATCTCACCAATGAGGTTGTTTCGTCTCAGTATATTACACGGCCAGCATATGCACGCGAAGTATCAACGTGCGTGACTCGTTGCGATGTCGCCCGGTCGCAGAGGATCACCAATGCAAAATTGGAGTGGTACATCAACGAGGGTCGTTATGTGCCCACAAAATTTGTTGTTTTGCTACCAATGATCCTACGATTGGGGTACGGTGATCTCAGCTAAGTGATCCTTGATAATGCGTCAGGTGTACCCCGCTCTAACTTTATCAATAACACCAAAGACTTGAGGTTCAGAAGTTATAGGTCAGTAAGTTTTCTAATTCCAAAGTGACCTGAACCACAACTGACACAAAACTGCCCCGGATGTGACTATGCTTGTATAGAGATTTGGGGATGCAGGTTCGATACCTGTTGTTGGCGGTTCTGTCTCTTTTTTCCTTCTGAATCTGACTTTCGCGGATGCTCGCTGGGTGCATTATAACGAGCACAAAAAAGACAGGAAAACAACAACAGGAAAAAAGACCTCTTTGAAGTAATAAAGGCTCTAGTGAGAGTCAATTGCCAATGCCCTTACCTCTGGTTTAACATGCGGCACATCAACCACTATGCTAAACATGTTCAAATGGATTGAGCAAAGTGAGTTTCACACATTTTGTGAGCGAGTTTTTGAGCGTTCCTCGGTAACCACAGCAGGCACGGGTAGCAGCAGCGTTTCCTTGCAAGCTGACTGCCCCTGACGTAGCTCAGGTTGCAAGTACATCCATAACCTTGTGCCTCGTTCTCTCTCGTTCTCCTCTCCTCTCCTGTTCCCGACCACCAGCGGCGTTTCTCGAGGACTGCCAGAAGGCATGGGGAAAGACGCTTCCAGGCTGGGAGAGGGTGGTGAAGACGGTCCAAATCTGGGTCGTGGGTGCTGACTGTTTCCTCACCCTAGGACTCTTCTGTGCCTCTGTCTCTCTCTCTCCCCTCCTGCCCCCAACTGCCAGCGGCGTTTCTTGAGGACTGCCAGAAGGCATGGGGAAAGACGCTCCTTGGCTGGGCCAGGGGTGCAACCTGTGGCACGATTGAAGGAGTCACCTGTGACTCTTCAGGCATGATTACCTCGATGTAAGCGTGCAATTACTTTGGACCTCACAATCTGCTTGTGTCTGCATACTTGCTTTTGATTGATGCCGGCTGCCTGCAGCAGAATTTGTGCCAAATATTCCCCGTTGTAGTGTCAGTCGGTATATACTCACTGGGTCAAAACGAGGTATGCATCTGGGGCGGAGTGGAGGCACTCAACCCTCACGTGTAAGCCTCACAGGCATTACACTCGTCCCCATTTGGTGCCAACATCCTCGTTGGTTCAAAACTTCAGGGAGTCGGCCCTCGCAAGGTCCTCAGCTTCGCTGGGCACTACGTCAACTTCACTGGTGAGCAGGCCATTGGAGAACCTTCAGCTGGGTTACCACGTTCAAGTTCTCGCTACTAGTGGGAAAATGTGACCAGCCAAGAATTGAAACCCTAGGCTCTAATACCAGTATAACGCCTTGCTACTGGGTCAAAACGAGGGGTAAATTGAGGCATAGCGGAGGCACTCAACATTTACATGTAGGCCCCACACGCGTTACAGCCCGTCTCCATCCAGTTTCCTTTCAACCCACACTCGTAACTCTTCCCTTCTTTCAACCCACCCACCCACCCCACCTCACATAGAGATTTGACAAGTACAACTCTTGATGGGTCTATCCCTAATAGCATTTCCTCGCTCACTTCATTGAAAACACTGTAAGAACCTTGCAGTGAAACAGTGAGGGTGTTTTTGTTTTTTTTTTTTTGGTGTGTGTGTGTGTGTGTGTGTGTGTCTTGTTTTTGTTTTTTTTTGTGCCCATTCTTTCATGCCTTCTTTCAGTGCTAGTAGATTCTCAGCGTTGAAAGGTATCCCATGAAGGAAGCCTATAGCGATATGGCTAGAGGGTGAATGGCCATTCCAATAAATGACGACAAGAGAAGTGCAACACAGAAAACGCGTGGTTCATAAGGAAAAGGATAAACGTGATATGCTTCATTGCCTTTAACATTTTTTTTTCCCCAAAATAGCAAGGAAGCTCTGCTGTTACCACCCAACCCTCCTCCTGCTGCTGCTGGTGAACTAGGCATTCCCTTAAACCCCTAAACCCTTCTACAGTAGTTCGATAAATTAACCCGCGGGCTGAACCCGCCTATGACCGTGGACTTGGCCGCGGAGTCTGAATTTCTGCCAATGTTTATGGTATAACAGTGCCATGGAGGCTTCTAAGGGCCAGCACTGGTAAACCTATTGTCGACTACCCAAAACTAACATAGACTATGGAAAATCGTCTGCACCAACATATGTAAATAGTGTGTAAGGTAGCAACGCTGCAGGTGCTTCTAGACTAGGCTATTGGGGATGTGTTAGCTAAAAACGAGCTAAAAATTGAGCTCAGCTAGTGTTCAGTGACGACCTAATAAAGTGTCGGAAAGGGATCTTTTCGACGAACACATTTCTGTTCGTCGGAGAGGCTAGATGAAAACGAACATTGTTCGGTTCTTCGCGGCTCGGCTAGCCGCGACGAACCGAGCACGAACATCCACAAACATTTTTTTTGCAAAACAAAATCACCTGTCCGGCTCGTCTCGAACGAACCAAACAGGTGTTCGCCCGTTTGCTCAGGCGTAACTCCATGTCCACGGCATTAACATCGCCTTCTTCACTGTTTTATACAACCCCTTCCCCAGGGCCATGTCTAATTGTGGGCTCAAAGGGTCTATTCCAGCTGAAATTCTAAGCCTCGTTTCATTAAAGATCTTGTAAGCAGTGTGAGATATGCTGGTATCGCAATTGTGGATTTACAGGGAGAGAGTGTGTTGCATCTGTATGAAAAGTGTTCAGAGCACCGACTGTATCCGTCCATCGTTGCTGTGTCCTTCATGCTCTTTTCGCCCAAGTTTCAAAGCCTGCGTGCATCAGCCCTCGGATCGGACCAGTTAAACACTGTAGTATCAACATCTCTAAACATTGTGCTCACACCTTCCATCTATCCAATCACTACAATATGCATAGTCATGGAGTTGCCACTCCCGAATTTCCTGTGTGTGGGACTAAACACTCGTTCAGTTTTCTCTTGTATCCATGTCGTAAATGTTCCTCATAAGATCAAGAAAGTGATCAACAAAGTCATGGTCATGCCCTTTCTCCATTGAGATGAGTTGTCAATGAGTTGGGCAGTCTTTATGTCCGGTTTCCATCCCCTGTGGCCAGTAATGTGACAAATAATCAGCTCAACGGACCCATTCCAGCCGCAATTGGAAAGCTCACCAATCTGAACGAACTGTAAGCTGCTTCAAGTTGGTGGTTGCTAGGATAGAGCTGTTTTTTTTTTTTTTTTTTTTAAATTGTCTCTGCCTTTGCCATTGTTTTACTGAGCAAGCAAGAAAACCTTTTGCATATCCCACCTTCCACTGCCCTTCTTGTGTGTTGGAGGGAGTACCGGTGCTAGGGCATTTCCTACACCCCCAACCCATTGATGATGGTTTGGTGCTCACAAGCTTCAGGATGGTGAGGTGGTGCTTGTTGTCTTCAGGTGATACCTCAGTACGGTGCCACCTGCCAATTTACCCAATGATGGTGAAATTGAGCAATGATGGTGAAATTTACCGAATTGTCAACACATCAATCTAACCTTCAACCTCAATGAGTACAGTGAAATGGTGAAGGGTTGCCTTTAATTTCACAGCACGGGGTTTTTTTGTGCGGCTGACATGACACACAATGTTGCAAATCGACGTAAACATGTGTCGGTTTTTTTTTTTTTCATGTGTGTGTGTGTGTGTGTGTTTGTATTTTTTATGTTTATTTTTTTTTACGTGCCATATTATTTCTGAACGTGTTCGAAGCAAACTGAACAGGTGTTTGCCAGTTTGCTCAGGTCTACTTGGTCCGATTGAACTAAACCGGCGTTTGTTTTTCTGACCTGATCATGTCTACCGGCTAGAGCTGCGTCAAATTGCAGTTTGCGTCCCATCTCCCATTGTGTCGTGTGTGCGTGCTTGACCTCTCTCCAGCCATGCCCACTTTTCTCATCTCTTCACTCCCTATGACTCACCCCTCCCCACGCAGATCTGTCAGAAAGAACGCATTGAATGGCTCCATTCCTGACAGCATCGTGTTTCTCAGCGGACTAAATTTTTTGTAAGGATTTCACACATTAAATTTCGCAAAGGTTGTATGATATTACCACAATTTACATGGATTTTCCTGAAATTCTTTCATTAGCAACAAAATCCAAGATACTAAACTACATCAAACTCTAGACAGTCATGACCATGTGCTTGAGTCGAGTCGAGTCAGCCCTTACCTGAGATGAGTCAGGGCCGAGTAGAAAAATTGACTCAGCCCGACTCGTGACTCGGAAAAACAGTGCGAGCTGGGTCTGACTCGTGGCAAGTAAGGAGAACCGCGAGTCGGAAGTGACTCAAAATCCGTTTCGAAGAACTTCATGTACGATTGTGTTTTAATTTGTGATTTCTATGTTGTCTAGAACATGCCCGGCTGGTAAATACTGGCAAGAAATATGAGAGATATGTCGCAAGAAAGATGAGAGATTTGTCCCAACTAAACGAAATCGCCAGATCTGTCGAATGGATTTTAGAGTCATTGGAAAACGTTGCCGGATTGAAACTTGTCCCCACCCATTTTGTTTTCGCAAATGTTGAAGCAGAAACTCATCATTCGCCAATTTCGCGTGTTCGACATTTTTTGGAAATTGTTGGCTGGTTCTTTACGCAACGGAATCGGTGCTGCTTGTTACGCACACACATCTTGTGATTGAAAAGAAGCTCAGGAGGGGAACCCCGGATGCAGGACGCATGCGAAGACGCAGGACTCTTCGCCGAAATTCTTTTGGGCAGCCCGGAAAGAAAAAATTGACCCACGAAATTGACATTCGTGAATTCGACGGGAATGTCAATATTGACATCGTACCCCAATGAGTGTGTTGTTGCCAAGCAAAATCTCAAACAAATGGGAGCGATTTTGCTATTTCACCAAGCAAAATCGCTACTAAACCATATTTCCACCAGCCAACGCACATTACCGCATTGCATCCCCTACCCGAACCTGAGAATGAAATAGAATCAGGTCAACATTTAGAGTTTTCTCTCCTAGTCGACCCAATAATCTTTTCACAAACCTTAAATCTAGGTTTAACTATGTTTGTGGGATCCTGATGTAAATCTAAGTAATTATGGATTAATGTGGTTGCAATGTCCAGAAACCACCTCTCCCCCCCACTTAGACGGTTTTTTTACCTGCCGATGGTTTTTATTTACTTGCCCGGGTCAACGTCACCTGAGCGTCTAATACAAGGCCGGGTGCGCGTCTTGTGTACAGGAGTGGTTCTAATACATCTCTGTCGTGAGCTAGTAAGGTGCAGAAATGTTATTTCAACCATTGTAGAAGTAGTTGGGTTACCCAGAGAGTGACGCAAAGTTGTTGACTAGGAGAACTGTGGAGCGCTTAATTGAAGAAGTCAAGGGACCTTGAAGATGGGGTAATCTGGAGGACCAACCTAGTACTGCACGGCTCAACTCCAAAGGTGAGACACAGAATTGGTGGCGGCTCGGAAAGAGAGGTCAAATAGTCAGCCAGAACATCTAGTAATTTGTTCTCTCGTTTGTTTACTGACTACAGTGGATTTAAGTTAGCAATGTAAGCTACGACAGCTATGTGACTAAGCCACTCGGAGTAGCCAGAATGTGGGCGCCTGGATCTCTCCCAAACGAGAGAAAGACCGCCACGAGTTGCGGTGGCAGCAAACGTACACGCGGCGTGAATCTGCGCTGCCGCAACGGATTCTCTCACAGGAGCGCGGGAGGTCGCCTGCACATTCGCCAAGGACGGCGGTGTACCGCGCGGATCCGTACACCCGTCGGCAGACGTCGCGAAGGAGGTGAGCTCGATCCGCATGCAAGGACGGAGCCCAGGCCTCACCCGTCCTGCAGCGACCCTTGGAAACTGGCAGGCAGCCAGCAAGGAGCGGGTGGAAGGCGTCGGGATGTTGCTGACGAGCTGAACTTTCCGAAGTCACCAAGCGAGGCTGACAGTGAGGAAGAAGATGAAGATACCCCAACTGCGCGGGGTGGGGAAAAGCAAGCTGAAGACGCGGATGATGAAGTTCTGCAGTGCCAACACGGAGAAGAGCTTGAGGAGCCTGATGAAGGGGCGGAAATGGATCATAATATGCAAGGGGAGGCGGCAAGGCGGAGTGGAGGCGCAAGAGCTCCTCGATCGCCAAATGGACGTCCTGACGGAGGCAAGCGGAGTCATACACCAGCGGGGGCGTATCGCTCACCGGAAACCACGACAGGAACCTGAGAGGAGGAGGCGTATGGTGATGGGAACTTGGCGACCGCCAGAGCCGTGGGATGACGAAGAGGAGGATCGATGGGAGCTGCTGGGGAATACTGCTGCCTGGTCAGACGAAGGGAGACATTAGGACAACATGGACCCACGATCGGGTAGGAAGGGCCCGTGGGGAGATAGGAAGGACAGGAGAGTAGCAAGAGAAAGCGAGCGACTGGATAAGGACGGACGTGCGACAGGTCTTGCTGTTAGTGTTAGCCTTCAATCTCAATAATTGTACTTTTTATATCATAGCATAGTGTAGTTTCCACTTTGGGTTGGGCTGGATGTACACACCCACATCCCAACCCAACCCAAATGTGATCATATGCAATCCCCAACCCACCAATTGAAGATTGCAGCCGATCTCCCTATGATTGCCTCCAATTCCCTCTCCATCCATTCCCAGCTCATTTCCGATGTAATTAAAGAGCCTTGCGCTATCACTTCAAGCTCAGTTCTAACACTTGCTACACGCCTAGGAGATGTAGATGATGATATTTAGACGATGCATTGGACTTGGCTTTGAATAACATGTTAAGCTGTAGCGCTTAGGGGGGGAAATGGACGGCAAAGGGTTAAAAGATACGTTAGTTAGGTGCGAGTACACAGAAAATGAGCTGGCTGGGGTGAAGGCGCAATTAAACCTCGGCCATGTTCAGTTTAGGACAGACGACCACATGAGGTTGGGAAGGTGTGGAAGAAGAGAGTTTTGTCAGTACAGAGGGTGGGACAAGAGAGGGCAGGCTGGAGGCAGAGGGAGACTAAGAGATGGACGGACAACAAAAAAATGTAGGGAGACTAAAATCACATGAACCCCCAAAAATAAATCCATAGCCGCATAACCTATATGTCACACGCAAGCAAGAAAACCAGGACTTTTGGGGAATGAATTGTGTATGGCAACGTGGCAGCCAAGCCAGGCTGAATACCCCACAACTCCTCTTGCTAACCGTTTCCCTCCACGGCCCAGGTTTGATGAGAACCACAAACTTAAACCGAACTCATGAACTTCTAAAGCTGAACATGAACTCATTCACCTCAAACCAAACTGCGATTCACCTTTTACTCATGCCTGCCTCTCTCCATGCTCGTCTCATCCCCCAGTCGGGTCAACAAGTGTGTGCTTGCTGTCCCTCCATCCATCCATGCCCTTTTTTCTCATCCATGCCCACTATTCTTATGTCCATGCCCCTTATGTCTCCTCACTTCTTCCGCCCCAACGCACACGACGCACACACAGGTCTCTTTCACACAACAACTTCACGGGCTCCATTCCTAACCAGATTTCCAAGATTTCTTTTGTCGATAATCTGTATGAAGCACCTCGTTCAAGCCTGGCGATAATCACGAACATGACCAAAGTCTCATAGCCTAGACAGATGTCACACGCAAGCAAGAAAGTCTCGAAGTCTCATATTAAGGAGTTTTGGGTCATTCAAACATATATGGCCATGCAATTGGCAGCCAAGAGGCTGAATACCCTGCAACCCCTCTTCCCGGCCCAGGTTCGAGGAGAACCACAAACTCGTCGAACCCATGTGTGCGACTTGAACCAGTTCGGCCAATTGGAGTCGGCACGAACTGTTTGCCTCAGACCGAACTGAAATCGAATTCTTTTTCGTGCCTGCCACCCACAAAGATCATCTCATCCCCAAATTGGCTTGACCGTTTGTACTTGTTGTCCCTCGGTCTATGCCCACTATTCTCATCTCCTCGGTGGTTGCACCCCAACCCACACCACACACGCAGGTCTTTTGCAATGAACCGTTTGACGGGCCCCATCCCCGACAGCATATCCAAGCTTGATCAGCTTTCTTTTCTGTATGAAGCACCTCATATATACCTAATGATGAGCACGGACACGATCAAAGATAACATAGATTCTAAAACTCAAAGTTACGTTATCCCGATGTCACACGCAAGAAAGAAAAACAAGGATAGGGTATTAGGAAAGTGAATGGCTAGGGATGAGCAAGATTAGGGCCGCATGCTAGCTTGGCCCTGCCTGCTTTTAGGCTGGCCGGGCCGGCTCCCTTGGGTAGACGTGAGCGATGACCTTCCACTGCCCGGCTTGTGACGAGCCAGCTCCAACCACTGTCTAAAGTGCAGGCCATTGGCCGGTTTGCCACGATGCAGGACTATGGCTAGGTCGGATCGAGGCTTGTCAGATGGGTGACGATCTGGGGAGGCTCATCTTAAGCCTGGCGGTTCGTCATGAGCTAGCTAGGGTGGCGATGGGTTCTAAAGCAGCAGTATACATTTGGCAGGGCGAGTTCCTAAATTTTATAAATGGTACATGGTGGGGCCGAAATCGTGAGGCACACTGTAAGAACCGGAACCCCAGTGTCAAATGTATGCTGCTTCAATGGAATCATGGACAGCCACATCAAATAACCCCTAAATTCTTCTCATCGGTCCCTGGACGGACCTGCATATGTAATGTGGTTGGCGCTGACATGTTGATGGACGGACCTGCCTATCTCAATGTTGATTGAAGTCAGTTACTAGAGTATTATGTTTGCAAAGGAATCACATTCTCACCCCTCGGGAAACACTAAAGGGTTGGGTTTTTGCAACACCAACTTTAACAGACATGAAGCCGCCATACCAAAAGAATTTGTATGGTAAGTAGTAGTTGAGTACCAGCTGGTGGAAATGACGTTTGAAGCTTGCATCACTCTGGTCTTGGACAAGCCCCCCCGGCTCTTTGAGTCTGATCAGCTCGTTTACCACCGGCACACAAGCCAACGGCGGCCACCCAACTTGTGTAAGCTAAGGTCCAAGCG